CTTCCTTCTTTCTTTCTTTCTTTCTTCTTTCTTTCTTCTTTCTTTCTTTCTTTCTTCTCTCTTTCTCTCTTTCTCTCTTTCTCTCTTTCTCTCTTCTCTCTTTCTCTCTTTCTCTCTTTCTCTCTTCTCTCTTTCTCTCTTTCTCTCTTTCTCTCTCTCTTTCTCTCTTTCTCTCTTTCTCTCTTCTCTCTTTCTCTCTTTCTCTCTTTCTCTCTTCTCTCTCTCTTTCTCTCTCTCTTTCTCTCTCTCTTTCTCTCTCTCTTTCTCTCTCTCTTTCTCTCTCTCTTTCTCTCTCTCTTTCTCTCTCTCTTTCTCTCTCTCTTTCTCTCTCTCTTTCTCTCTCTCTTTCTCTCTCTCTTTCTCTCTCTCTTTCTCTCTTTCTTTCTCTCTTTCTTTCTCTCTTTCTTTCTCTTTCTTTCTCTTTCTTTCTCTTTCTTTCTCTTTCTTTCTCTCTTTCCCTCTCTCTCTTTCCCTCTCTCTCTTTCCCTCTCTCTCTCTCTCTCTCTTTCTTTCTTTCGTTCTTTCAGATCTATTTATTTATTTGAAAGGCAGAATGAGAGAGAAAGTGAGGTCTTCTATCTGCTGGTTCATTCACTGAAAGACTGTAATGGCAGGGGCTGATTCAGGAGGAAGCTGGGAGCCTGGAACACCATCTGGGTCTCCCACTTGTGTGGCAGGAACCCAAGTACTTGGATCATCTTTTGCTGCCTCCTCAGGCACGTTATCAGGGAACTGGATCGGAAGTGGAGCAGATGGGACTTGAACCTTAGCTCCTATACAGAATGCCAGCATTGTAGGCAGCTGCTTGGCTCATTACACCACTGGCCCCTATTTCTTTTTAACTGATAACAAAACTGTACATGTTTATCAGTACCATATGATGTCTCTGTTTATGTATATATTGTATAACGTTCAGATCCTCAAACATTTATCATTTCTTATGATGAAAACATTCAAAATTGTCTCTTTGAACTCTTTTTTTTTAAAGATTATTTATTTATTTGAGAGGCAGAACTACAGACAGAGAAGGAGAGACAGAAAGGTCTTCCATCCATTGGCTTACTCTCCAAATGGCCACAATGGGCAGAACCAAGCCAATCTGAGGCCAGGAGCCAGGAGCTTCCTCCCGGTTTCCATGCAGGTGCAGGGACCCAAGCACTTGGGCCATCTTCCACAGCCTTGCCAGACCATTAGCAGAAAGCTGGATTGGAAGAGAAGCAGCTGGGACTAGAACCAGTGCCCATATGGGATGCTGGTGCTGCAGATGGAGGTTTAGCCTACTATGCCACAACACTCGCCCCTGAGCCTTTTTTTTAATAGAGTACATTATTATCTCTATTCACCTGACTACACAGAACTTCTCTTAACTATAACTTAATACTCATTAATCAACTTTTTCCCATTCCTCCATCCCCTTGCATAATCATTTTGAAAAGTTTACTTATATATTTATTTGAAAAATAGAGACAGAGATCTCCTATCTTCTGGTTCACTTCTTACATGCCTGCAACTATGGGACTGGAAAGGCCAAAGCTAGTAACCAGAAATTCAGTCTGGGTCTCTTATGAGGGTGACAGGGACCTAGCTGCTTGAGCCATCACCTGCTTCCTCCCAGGGTATGCATTAACAGGAAACTGGAATCAGGAGCGGAATCAGGAGCAGAGTCTGGACTTGAACCCAAACAGTCTGACGTGGGATTTGGGCATCCCAAGTGATGTCTTAGCTGCTATGCCAACTGCCTGCCACTCCACCATAGTTTTTAAAGAATTCATATGATTCTTGTATTGAAAATTGTGGTTTATTAAACTTTTTAAATGGGTATTTAAATTATTCTTGATTTCAAAATTACAGAAAGCAAAGGGGAAAGTGTCCTCTTGTAACTTTTTTGTCATACATCTTTAATTATTTTCTATGGGTAAACTCCTAGATTTATATATTTTAAAGTCTTTGGATTTGTACAGTCAAATTGCCTTGTAAAAACCTTGAACCAATTGGTACTATGAGGCTATCTATATATTTTATTGGACTTATATTTTTGTCTTTTAGTTTTGAATTTCTTTAATTGCTAGTGAATGTAAATGTCCTTACTGGCAACTTTTAAATGTCATCATTGACAAGTATTTTTCTTATCTTGTGAATTGCTTATTGATGATCTCTGTTCATTTTCTTCTATAAGGAATAGACTTATTTGTCAAAAATCTATTCTAAAAACACGTTAGATTTTTACCTAGCCATTTCTGATTCAGACCTTAGGAATCTGTTTCTTGCAGTGGTCCTTCTTCTCTAGTTTGTTTACTTACTTCAACTACTCTTCAACTTAGTTATTACTTCTACCTCTTTATTCCATTTTTGACCTGTTCACAGTTAACATTTCATTCTTTTCATTCATTTTTACTAGTGTCATTGAAGAGAGGGTAAGGCAAGAATAAAATTTTTTCTTATAACTCTAAACACCTAGGATATTGCCTAGTATAATAGTGTTTCATAAATATTGTTAAACAAGTCAAAGAGTGAGGATGTTAAAATGTGATCATTGATTATATTTTGAGTCCTTTAGTTCTTTGCCATATGGATAACCCTGGACTAAATTTGATGTAAAGAAATATGTTTTTCCATTCTTTCGATGATGAATGTATCTAAAGCAGTTCAAATCAAGAGATGTACAATCTTAGAATGATTTTTTCCTTTTATAAGGTTGTGTACAAATTTGGCTTACGTCAAAGATTGCTAAGAACTTATGATTCAAAAAGGCATCACAATTTATTACTTAATCCAATATTTTAAAAGTAACGTTTTACATAAATATATGTGAATGTGTGTACATACACAGACACACAGATTCATTGACAGATGTCTAGAATTTATATCGTGTATTGTATTAAACAGGTGGTTCATATAAAAATGGTAACACCTAGAGGTACAATAGAAAAAAGCTGTCAAGGACCTCGTATGTCAACAGGCCCTGATATCCATCACTTCATCATGGGATCTGAAGGTAAATATAACTGCAAATTTACTATGAAAAATACAGGTCAGTGACTCACTTTTGTGAAAATCTGTGATATTTTGGTATCAGATCTTTGAAAGAAAAACATGTTCTATATATTTAAGGATTAGTGAATTTTAAGAGTTTAATTTAGTACTTCATACAGTTTTTATTATAACATTTTATTAAACTTCCTCTTTTTGGTTTTCCATATTTCAAGAGACAACTTGGTCTTTTAAACGTTTTCTGTTAGAGTTTTTAATTAATTTTTAGAAAAGTGGTTATAAGGTCTTAAAGAGGTTTGCTTTGACATTTTGTATTCTTTAATCTTGTTAGAATTATCAGGTGAAAGAACTGAATAAAGTATTTATTGTCTTTCTAAAATTACTATTTGACTTTTGAAAGAAATAGATTTAACATTTTACTGATTCACGTATCTGTTAGTCTTTTGATTTTTCACTATGCATGCAGTATCCTTTTCTTGGTTAGTAAATATTAGATTAATTGGAATGTAGTTCTTCATTTCATTGTAAACATTTAAATTATTCACAAATCAAAAGAAAATTAGCTTTCTCCCTTCTGTTTTGGCACAAAATGACTTATATAAGCATGGTGAATTATAGGATAAGATGAACATGGGCTGTTTTCAATTTTTAGAATGGAAGAAGGATATCCTTTAAATTCAGTGAAATAAGGTAAATTGAAATAAGAAGGTGTTTCTAAATTCGCAGAGGAACTCATTACTTTAGAAGGTGGTCCAATTTGAAAAAAAGATAGATTTTGGAGAATTTTAGCTACATTCATGAATAAATAAACTAAGATTTTTAGGGCATAAGTTCTGATCCTTAACAGTAACGCCAAAAAAGAAGAAAATAAACTGTACAGTTCAGTGATGCGATAGAAGTCAGCTGTTGGGCTGATGACCTGTGGTGTAGCCTAGGTCTTTTTTATGATGATCAATGATAACCAGTAACAAACCTTTATCATGACCTCTCACCAATTTATTCAGTTTATTTCTTTTTTGATCAGCATACTCTTCTTTAAAAAAAAATCACAAGAATCCTTTTAATAATAAAAATGAAATGGTAAATTGTTTTAGGGCAATATAGTTCTGTAGTAAATATTATTCTGGAACTTGTATTAATGTATCATCTAAAAGTTACCTTAATAACTTTTTGTCATCAGTTGTGAAATTAAATACAAATAGGTATTAAAACTCATACTTTAAAAGTTTTATTTTGCTTGAAAAACAGAGGTCTCCCATCCACTGGTTCACTCCTGAAATGCCTGCAATAACCAGTTCTGGGCCAGGCTAGAGCCAGGAGCTGGGAAGTCAGTCTGTGTCTTCCCCAAGCACTTGAGCCATTACCTGCTGTGTCCCAGGATACACATTAGCAGGAAGCTGGAATTGGAAGTAGAGCCAGCTCTTAAACCCAGGCACTCTTGTATGGAATGCAGGTGTCTTAAGTGGTGTCTTAACTGCTTCTCCAAATGCCTGTCCCCTTAATTCATATTTTAAAAAATTATTTATTTGAGAGAGAGTGCACATGTTTTCTGCCATCCATTAATTCACGCTGTAGATGCCCACAGTGCCTGGGGCTGGGCTAGAATGAAAACTGGGAGCTGGGAACTCACTTCAGGTTTCCAACATGGATGGCCAGTACCCAACTACTTGAATCTGACTACTGCTTCCCAGGGTTTGCATTATCAGGAAGCCGAAGTCAGGATCTGGAGCTGGTATCAAACTCAGGTACTCTAATATGGAATGTGGGCATCTTAACTGGTAGGCTAAATTGTGACCCTGGAACTCATACTTTTAAATTATTGCATTGATGCCTTTATATTTGGAGTCCACTCTATAAGTATCAATTATCTCTTGAAGTAATTACATCAAACTTTTTTATCTACTGTCAATTAGTATTTTACAAATTCTGATTGCTGTGTGCTGTGCTAGCACACTTAAGGACACAGTAATAAACCATTATACTATAGTATGATCAATTATGTTATTGAAATAAATGCAGGAAAAAATATAGAAAAGATCAGGTCAATAGATCCTAAAGAAAGATTTCCCCAAGAGGCCATACTTAAAGTGGTTTGTGAAAGTTAATAAGGAGAAAATAATTCCAGATTAAGTGCAGGAAGGAGTGCAGGGACTTTTCCTGCAGAATGAACAGCAGTGTGCAGGCTTAGAAATGAGAAACAGTATTGTCTGTCTTATCATGAAGCTGCCAGTTTTCAGTGTCATGAATGTAAGGTTTAATTGTGCAGTGGAGCAGGCAGTAGGTCTAGGGGCAGAGTGATAAAGGAGGTAATTTGGTCTTTCATCCTTTTAAAATAGTTTCTCTTTTATCTGAAAGACTGGTTACCTCTATCAATAACCAACTGTTATGTGAATTTAAGAAAGATACTTATTATAAATAAAGCCAAAAAAGTATGATTTATAATAAATTAACATACTGTGCTAACTTACATAATTAAATGAGATTTTGTTAATATGCATGCAAAGTGGTATACTATGAACCATGAAGTCTGTCAGATCTGGATTTCTATCCTGGTTCTCCTACGTATATTTCTGTGACTTTGTGTAAGTGAGGAAATTTTGTATGCCCAGTGTCCTAAACTGTTAATGGAAGTAATGAAGTACCTAACTCCCAAAACGTGTTGTGAAGACCAAATGAGATTATGCTAAGCAGTTTATAACTCTGTCTTAAATACTCACCAGGTGTTAATTTTATTGCTATTGTTGTAGCTGTTATTTGGTATTGACCTGTACAGCCTATGGTCCTTCACCTCCATTTTAACTTGCTTTCATTTTAGATGCCATAACATATTCAGTGTAATGAAAACTGCAATATTTGAAGCATTTGAAATTCTGTATATGTAATTTACTGATTTGCTCTTTTATTTGAAAAAACAGTTAAAAGTATACCTTTTTAAGCCCATGATCCCTTGATTTTGTCATTACTGTATAGTTAAATAGATGTGATACTTAGAACCAGTTCTTTATTTTTTTTTTAAGCTTGAAAGGTCTTTTTTTTTGCAATTTTTTAAAGATTTATTTATTTATTTGAAAGTCATAGTTACGCAGAGAAAGGACAAAGAGGGAGAGGTCCTCCATCTGCTGGTTCACTCCCCAATTGGCCATAACAGCCGGAACTGTACTTATCCAAAGCCAGGAGCCAGGAGCTTCTTCCAGTTCTCCCATGCAGGTGCAGAGGCCCAGGGACTTGGGTCATCTTCTGCTGCTTTCCCAGGCCATAGCAGAGAGCTGGATCAGAAGTGGAATAGCTGGGACTCGATCTGGTGACCATATGGGATGCTGGCACTGGAGGCCACGGCTTTACCTGCTACACCACAGTGCTGGCCCCAGAACCAGTTCTTTGGTAAAGTTTTACCAGTAATCTTTTAGTTAAACAAAAATCATCTTTTGGTAGATTTCTTAGGATAGGCACATTTGAAAGTTCTTGAGTTCTGGAAAACTCAACTGTTTTTTTCTGTGACTTTAATACTTGAAGGACAACTTGAGTGGATATACCTTTGGGTTGTACTTCCTTTCCTTAAATTCTTGAAAATGCTGCACCACTGTTAGTTTGCTTTTGTATATTGTTTTAAAAAAATATGATCCTCATAGTGTAACCCACTTGCCTCTGTAGACTGTTTTCTCTTTTTGCCTGGAAGCCCTTTGTAGTTTCTTTTTCTCTCTCTCTGTATTGTTAAAGTCTTGTACTTGTGCCACTTAGAGTTCATTGCCCTGGATCATTTGGCTTGGGTACCCAGTGAACCCTATGTAGATTCCAATGTTATTTTATTTCTGGGAAGTTTTTCTGAGTTGTAACATTGAATCTTTTTATTTTTAAATTAATTATTTTTATTTGGAGACAGAGACAGAGACAAAGAGGCACACAGAGAGAGCTCCCATTCACTGGTTTACTTCCCAAATGCTGGCAAAGCTGAGGTTGAGCCAGGCCGAATCTATGAGCCAGGCTCTGTCACTTGGGTCACAGAGACCTAACTACTTGAGTCATTGCTTGATGACATTAGCAGCAAGGAGAGACATTGGGATTAGAGTCATAACTTAACTCCAAAGGCTTCCTTAACCAGAGGCTTGACCCCTAGGACGATATGCCTGCCCCACCTATTTCTTTTTCTTTCTTTGCAGCAATCTAGGATCTATAGTACTGTGTTTAAAAAAAAAAAAAAGGCTAGATCTGGTGTAGTGGTGTTATTGGGTAAAGCTGCCACCTGTGATGCCAGCATCCCATATGGGCGCTGGTTCAAGTCATGGCTGCCCCACTTCCGATCCAGCTCTCTGCTATAGCCAGGAAAAACAGTAGAAGATGGCCCAAGTCCTTGGGCCCCAGCACCCATATGAGAGACCTGGAAGAAGCTCCAGGCTCCTGGCTTTGGTTTAGTTTGGCTCCGATTGTTGTGGCTGTTTGGGGAGTGAACCAGTGGGTGGAAGTCCTCCCTGTTTCTCTCTGCTTCTGCCTCTCTATAACTCTGCCTTTTAAATAAAAAAAAAATAAAAAAAAAAATAAATAAAAAAGTAGCAGGGGTCGGCGCTATGGCTCACTTGGTTAATCCTCCGCCTGCGGCGCTGGCATACCATATAGGCACTGGTTCTGGTCCCGGTTGCTCCTCTTCCAGTCCAGCTTTCTGCTGTGGCCCGGGAGGGCAATAGAGGATGGCCCAAGTGCTTGGGCCCCTGCCCCCACGTGGGAGACCAGGAGGAAGCACCTGGCTCCTGGTTTCTGATCGGCGCAGCACCAGCCATAGCAGCCATTTGGGGAGTGAACCAGTGGAAGGAAGACCTTTCTCTCTGTCTCTCTCTCTCACTGTCTATAACTCTATCTGTCAAATAAAAAAAAAATAGCAGTGGTAAGAACCTGATTTTTTTAAAAAATATTTTTAAAAAATGTATTTTCATTTATTTGAAAGAGAAAGAGAGATCCACTAGTTCACTCCCCAAATGCCCACAGCATGTGAGACTGAGCCAGGCTGAAGCC